GTTTCTTATTAAATGCAGATTCTGATTCTGAAGGTCTGAGGTGGGGCCTGAGATTCTGCATTCTTAGCAAGATTCTAGCTGGTAGATGATGCTTATTACTTTGAGTAGCAAGGCTTTAGGACTCACCTTTGGGAAGCCATTGCTTTGAGCTCCTTGCATTCCATACAGGTCATATTCTACCTCTGGTGACGGCTCATTGTCCTAGCTGCACACCTTTCTATCTCTGCCTGGAAGCCCCCTGGAGAGCAGGGTCCATTTCTTATTTGTCTAAATATCACCAAGGCCTAACATGCAGCCTAGCACATAATAGGTGCTCGGTAAAGAATTTGTGGACGGGGGCCGGCCCGGTGGCGTTCTGCTTCTCGGCAGCCTGGGGTTCGCTGGTTCGGATCCCGGGTGCAGACGTGGCACCACTTGGCACGCCATGCTGTGGTAGGCGTCCCACATATAAAGTAGAGGAAGATGGGCACAGATGTTAGCTCAGGGCTAGGCTTCCTCAGCAAAAAGAGGAGGACTGGCAGTAGTTAGCTCAGGGCTAATCTTCCTCAAAAAAAAAAAAAAAAAAGAATTGGTGGATGAATGACTCTGGGAATAGGAAACTGTCCAAATTACATCCAGATGAGGTTCTTCCTAGTGACCTCTTGGGGCTCTCATTTGTAAGCGAAACCTCTTTTGTGCAGCAGGTCAGTCAGTGATTCAGTGCCACTTTGAGTGAAGCTCCCACGCTGAACACCACAGGGATGGAGAGGAAAGAGAGGCAGAGACCTAAGTGTTGGGAAGTTTGCCATCTCAGTGGTGAAACAGGTTCAGGCACACTTGAAGCAACATTAGAATATTTACACAGTAACTTCTAAATAAGTGCAAATTAAGGGGGTGTGACTGAGAACCAAAAGGAAATAAAGAGCAATCCACGGGTACCCTGGCAGCTTGCACCTCTAAATGCTCAACACTTAGTTGTTTCTTTCTTCGCTTATTGAAATCAGGATTGCTTTCTGAAGGAGATTAGCATGGATCACAAGGCACCCACCTGCCCTGGGGGAGCCACAAAGCCATGGTCAGGGCCTGTGACACAGGGGCAGTCCTGCCATGGCCACGTGGGGCCAGACAGAGGCTGAGAGCCAGAGTGAGGATGATTGGCATCTTCCAGCATGGGACATGGTGACTAGGAAAATGTGAAGAGGAGCAGGCAGCAGCAATGTAAGCGTAACATACTTGGAGTGAGGAGGAGGCAAAAGTGGAGCTTGGAGAAGACCCAAGTGGAGATCCTGGGGAGATGGTGGTGGTAATTTTTACTTCCCTAATAGATGCAGAGCATTTCAACTTTGCTAATTAACGGAACAGCAGGCTTGTAATTCTGGCAGCAGCAGGACACAAATGGGGTGGCATTTAACACTGAACATGCCTTTGTCCTTAAGAGAAAGCACAACACTCAGGTTGGGTCAGGTCCATGAGGGTGCCCTCTGGTTCTTTTTCCCTTGCAGTAACTCCAAGGGCACAGATGCTTTTATTTCTTCTCAGGCTGTCTTTAGAGGTAGCAAGGAGCCTGCTGTTTCAACAGCCTTTTCTTTTAAAAGGGGAAGCTGGTCTACGATTGGTCTAGAGTTTATAGTCTAATAGTGCTATCAAATATACCTTGTATCGTGGAGACAGCAGTCGCGGTGGGAGTCTGCCTGCTTCAAGGTATGTTTGCTTCACAGGAGGTCTTCCATCACTAGGCTCTCATTTGGGTAACTTGGGCTGTCTGCAAAATGGGTTGACGTGTCCTGAGCATCCGAATCCCTAAACTGATTCCTGGAAAGAATGGGAGGCCAGGAAGAGTTATTTTGTCTTCCCAAAGTGCACTGAATCTTGTTAGGGAATTTCTCCCCAATACTTCCTTTCAAAGCATGCTATCTGATCATGTGAGGATCTTAAAGGCCAATAAATATGAGGAAAAGATTTTAAAAAATCTCAGAATATTAGACGTGCGTGGTGCTCTGGAGATCATCTACTCAGATCACCAGCTCTTGCTGTGACAGATGAGGCCACTGACCTTGTGCAAGTCACTTTAGGAAGGGTTAACACTTCAGTCATTTATTTATTCTTTCATCAAATATTTATTGAACATTTACTATGAGTCTGCCCAGACGTGAACCTGATAGTGAAAACATGTTGCTATTTCATTGGTCCTGTTTGAGTTAGCGTTCAATGAACTTCCCCTTTATTATAGATTCCGACAGCTGGTTTCACAAGGACCCTGGGGGAATTGATACATAAGGATCTTCAGCCAGTACAAATAGATTTTCTATGCAAGGTCGCCAACTTCCGAGCCGCTGGGCTAATTAGTTTAGCTCTACTTGGCTTTACATAATATATATATAGTCGAAAAGTTATCTGTAATTCAATTTTTGGCAAATGAAAAACTAATTCAAACCACTAAAGGCAACTTTTATTTGAAGAGATCCTGGAGCAAATCCTTTTACAATGTGAAAATCTTGTTGTTTTTGGAAATGATTATCCCCTAGTTAAGGATTTTGTAAATCTGAACACTTGAGGTTTTCTTACCGTGGGCACTCAACCTGGGAGATAGCTCAGCTGTGGTCTGAACTGGATGAGAGAAGACTCTGGTCTGGGAAGAGAAAGCCCTAGAAATCTTAGACCAGCCCAAGCCAAGATATTGACATTGACTCAAGCCAATGACTACAAGCTCCGTGAACAAGCTGCTCCCCTTCTCTCGGGTCCTGGAGTCTGGAGGGGAGAAGGAAGAGGTGGGGCATGAGGGGGTGTGAAGGATGAGACTCGGAGCTCCTCCCTCTCTCCATGGGTGACCGAGGAGGGTATCTGATGGGGGACCTTTTGCTTCTGTTACAGCAAATTCCGAACTCTTCCTTAGTGTCTGGGAACTATGTGGAATTAGAGCCATCTTGTCTCCTTTAACACAGTAGGGGAGGAGAGAAGAGCAGTGGGAAATACAGGACAGGAATTTAGGGGAGAAGAGGGTTATGGATTCTTGTTATACAGTAAAATCTCATTAGTTTGGGCCTCGCTGTTTTTGAACTTGTAAATAATCTGGAAGAAGACGACTGAAGTTTAACTTTTCTTGTTAAAATTTTTTTCTATAGAAATTAATCATGCATGTAGCGATGTAGAGGAGAATGTTCTAAAACTGACGTATAGAAAGACACATTTCACATATGCAAATAAGCTGTTTTGATGCAGAAGCATCATTCTACACAAACAATTTATGTGTTAATTAAAGATGATCCTTGTCTAGTTGCGAAAGCCTGATAGGACTCTTCCTTGCCAACGAAGCTGAACCGTCTCCTTATTGCATGAGGGTGAAAAATACCCTATGTATCTATTTGTAAATTCTATAATAATTTATATTGATCCTAATTAGTTTCTACTAGTGAGATTTATGAGTTTTTCTGTGTTGGAAGATAAGATCAGAGCGTAAGATCAAATGTAGAAACTAAGGATAGAATGTACAAAACAATGCTTATAGTTAGAGCTTTGTTTTTTATGGCATTATTTTTTTTCTTCTATTGCCCATCGTCCTCTCAAAGTGAGACTTGTGCTGGTTACTGCAGCATCAGGTACTGTGGGTCAGCTTGTAAAGAGAAGCAACTGATGAATAAAAAGGCTCACTGTCTTCATTTAGTGAAAAATGAAAAAGAAGAAGGTGAAATGGTCAGAGACACTTTGGAAATTTGTGTGGGGTTAGAATATGACCTCTGACTGTGGAAACTGGCATTCTGGGGACACATCTCTCCTCCTCTTTGGTTGAGTGTGGTCTTAACCCTGGGTTGTTGCCAGAATTCCCGAGTAGGTCTCTTGAGACGCTCAGTGTTTAGAGATTGTCACAGCCCTGAGTGGGAGGGTCCTGCACATTTCTCCCCTCTGTAGATTGTCAGGTTGGGACCACAAGGGAGTAAGCCAAGTGGAGAAAGGCAGTAGTGGGGGAGTCTGTGGTCTCTGGTTCTGTCTCACTGAGCTGATACAGAACCGGATCTCTTCTGGGGTCCATCTGTGCCATGTCCCTGGTGGTGACCCACAGCAGATTCCAGTTACAGCTCGTAGGGCTCTGAGCGTGGGCTGGCTCTCCCTGAGAGTCCTTGTTGAGTTCTCTGGTTAAATGATAGGGGCACAGTGGGCTGGCCTGGGGTTTTGTGTGTGTGTGTGGAAGCTGGGTCCTCCTTTCCCACACATCTCACACTGGGCTGGGTTGGTCCTTTGAGGCTACTGTTTCTCCAGGGACATTGTTATTTTTCATCCTCTGTCAGCCCCAGGCCTCTGCCTCCAACCCACTAACAGGAACTCAACTAGACCCCAGAAAGGGCTTTCCAACTGAGCAGCAAGATTTAGGCAGAGAATGAGCTGCTGAAGAAAGGAGTACATGTCCTTCCCAGGAGGTTGGTGTCCCCGCACCTCCTGTCTGTGGTGGACTGGTGATGGTGACATTGAGGGGGAGAAGGAAGAAGGATGGAGAAGGGTATTGCATTCAACTCTGCTTACCACTTGGGGATTTTTGTGGTTTACTTTCCCATTTGTAAAATGAAGACTAAGAGCCACAATGCCTTGTAAAGGAAAGGCAAAAAGAATTATTTAGGACGTTGTGGTCCATCTTGATATTAATTAACCTGTTCAGAAGATGTTTACTGAGTGCTTACTGTGTACCAGACACTGTCTCGGCACTAGAGGTACAACAGTGGTTTTTTAAAAGCCCTGCTCTTTGAATAACAAGGCTATAGCTGTTGTCTCCAGGGCATGGAACTTTGTCTGTGTGGTGGGGGGTAACTTGGACTGTCCTCTCCTGGGGAGGAGTCAGAGGGCCACACCCTTGATCACCCTGTAGCCTGGTGTCATGTGGGAGTGTCCTTTCTGTTGTGGGCCCTCTCCTGTTCCATTCAGCTGGGATGTAGGCGGAACTTTCTGTCCCATTACGGGATTGGGAGGCTGAGAGTGGGATTCAGGCATCTGGTGTCTTTTACCCTGATTCCTTCTGTTTTATTGTCCCATAGGGTCTTTTCGGAATGATGGTTTGAAAGCTTCTGATGTCCTTCCCATCCTAAAGGAAAAAGTGGCCTTCGTGTCTGGTGAGTATCTCTAGAACTTTCCTCTGTAATGGACCTAGAGAAGTGTGTGCGCATGCATGCATGCGGGCGCTCACTTCTTTGTAGGGGGGTGGGGAGGAGAAGTGACACTGGGAGCAGCTGCTTCCTTTCTCCAGAGGCAGGCAGAAAGAAGGGAGAGCTCTGGTCCCAGCTGGGTGTTCTAGAGGACGTTTATAACCACAGGTAGGTGTCCCCTCCACACCTCACACCCCCTACACACCTACACCTCAAACACCCCACCGTCCCAGGCCTGTCGTGCCCGGCAGGAGCCACTGAGGTCCCTATGGGAGATGCTCCAGTTGGAGGAGTCTATCCACTTCACACATTCCTAGAGGTTTTGTTTGGGTTCATCTCTGAGTGAGTCATGGGCAGGAGATTGAAATTTTTTCTGGCTCCTCCTCATCTCTCCTTCCTGGCAAAGGGAACTCGAGTGAGTGAGTGTATCTATTTATTTATTTTTCTGAATAATGACTTCCAAATATTTATTTCTGACTTTTCTTTCCAATCTGTCTTGTGCACCTGGACCTTTTAATGTCTGAATCAGTGGCCAGCCTTCTATTTTAGAAATAAAGTTTTATTGGAACACAGGCCTGTGCATTTGTTGTATGGTATATTAGTTTCCTATTGCTGCTGTAACAAGTTACCACAAACCTGGTGGCTCACAACAACAGAAATTTGATATCTCACGGTTCTGGAGGCCAGAAGTCCAAAATCAGTCACTGGGCTGAACTCAAGGTGCCAGCAGGGCTGTGCTATGTCCAGAGGCTCTAGGGGAGAATTTGTTCTTTGCCTCTTCCGGCTGCTGGTGGCTGCCAGCATTCCTTGGCTTGTGGCTGCATCACTCCCATCTCTGCCTCTGTGGTCACATTGTCTTCTGTTCTTCTGTCTGTGTCAAATCTCCCTCTGCCTCCTTCTTATAAGGATACCTGTGACTGCATTTAGGGCCCACTCATATAACCCAGAATAATCTCCCCATCTCAAGATCCTTAACTTAGTCACATCTGCAAAGACTCTTTTTGCAAGTAAGTCACAGTTACAGGTCCCAGGGATTGGGACCTGACATGTTTGGGGGCCATGATTCACCTACCACAGTTGGGGTCACTGGCTGCTTTCTCACTGCAACAGCAGAGTTGAGTAGATCCAGCAGAGACCAGATGGCCACAGGCCTAAAATATTTGCTATCTGGCTCTTTAGGAAAAAGTTTGGTGACCCCTGATGTAATCGAAGCCAAGCCCTAGGCGCACCAGTATCCCTCTGAGCGCCAGTTCTGGGGCTCCACCATAGGCCTCCTGGATCAGAGTCTGTTGGTAATGTGAGGAGCCAAGGATCACACTTAAAGGAACACATCCCCCGCTTGTTCCTTGAGGACTGAACCTTTGTTTCTGGATGGTTCTGGTCGTCTACGAGGAGTAGCAGTGGAATCACAGGGAAAAAGCCAGTACAGTCCCACAGCACAGAGTTCACTCCACAGGTACCACTGGCCTGGCTGATGGGTGACAGCCAAAAGGGAGAGAAGAGAGAGAGAGGAGGGGGTATGAGGACGGAGAAACCAAGCAGCAGTGTCTCCTGCCTGACCAGAGGGAAGGTGAGGGATGGCTGGTTCAGAGAGTGAGGATGGGAGGTGAGGGCAGAGTATGTGATGGGAGTGTGTAAACCTTGTAAGGTACCAAGTGCATTCCATATTATTGTTAGTAGTAGTAGTAGAAGTAATGCTAGTGTTTTGTTGTTGTCATTGCTGTTAGATGAGAGTGATTGGGAGGTCCCACTGGTGTCAGGTGCTTGTGCGTCTTATTAGGTAGGGAGCCCGTCAGTAAAGATGTTGAGCGCAGGCCAAACAAGCCCTTGGCAGGACCCCGTGGCAGCGATTTCAGTGTGGGGAGAGGTGCTGGCAACACACCTCCAAAGGCTTTGTAAACTCGCATCTGAGTGCCTGCTGAGTGTGTCGGGAGACCTTATGTAGATGTCTTGGGGCCCCTGGGCAGCACCAGGCCTCTGACTTCTGCGGCTGCCCTCAGCCTGGCCCGAGGACTTGACCCACAGCCCTCTACTGTTTACTCTCTCCTCCCAAGGGGAGCCCCGTCATGGCTTTACCCTCTCCTTCTCTGTGGCGCTGAGCCTTAGTAACCTGATGTCCTTTCTTAGGTTATCCTGCTAGTCCTCCCATTTCTCTCATGCCTGAGCTTCCTCTGCCTGCAGCACCCTCCCCACACCTTCTTTTCCTTCCCAAGTCCCACTTTGACTCCTCCAGGAGGCCTTCTTGGTTTTAATGCATAGCCTCTGAGCGCCATCCTCTTCTGTATCAGTTCGGGGCATGTGAGTGCAGATATGGTACACTCTGACACGGGGACCCTTGCTTGATTGTCCATGATTTATTTTTTCCCGTGTGAGTTCAGTTGGAGCCCTGGGGCAGGGCCCAGCCAGCCCTAGAAAAGACCTTCCCAAGTGTAGAGGTTTGTCCTAAGGGAGCACATAGAAGCAATGTGCTAAGAAGGCAGTTAATCATCTGTGAAGGAGGTCGAAGCTTCCTAGAGCAGGACCAAGGGGCTGGGGTGTGCAGCTCACTCCCACGTGCTGATGTGGGCCGAGCCGCCTGGGGTAAGTCTTATTCATCAGCATGTGGTGCAGGAGCTCCTGGGCTTAGGGAACATTGTCCTTTCGTGTCTGAGAAGGACACTGAGGGTGCCAGGGGGATGACTGTCTGCATCAAAAAAAAAAAAAAAAAAAACGAAAACAGAAAACAAACTGAAAACGCTTTTAAAAGACAAAACACAAGAATAAGACAAAATAAAGAAACCCAGAATTAAATAATGCAGTGTAGCCGTTGCATTGCTTTCTGAGAAGAAAGCCCTGCAAGGAAGGTGGTGGGCACAGAAACTAACTGTTGTTGTGCCTGCCCTCCCTGGAGTGCCCCCAGCGTGGCCAGAGGAAAGGAAAGCTGTGCTGCCATGGGAACGCACATTTGGAATGATCTGGCAGCCCAGCAGCTTCTGCATGTGGGCGTGTGCACGTGTGTGTGACAGGATCTGTGGCCATGACAGCCTTGCCCTATCTTGCTCTGTTTTCACAACCTGTGGGCTCCCCTTTGCCCCCTCTCTGGCTTCCTTTGTGCACATATACCTCCCAAGCACAGCACCCCCTGTCCCTTTATCCGACGTTCTTGTGCAGGGCCCGTTCCACCCCTGTTATCTTCATGTGCACCCATACCCTCCTTTTGGCCCCATCTCGATGTCCCTCTCTGCCTCTTTCTCTCCACCAACATCGTTCTCCATTGCTCCCAGGAAAGCTCCATGCCGCTGCTGCAGGATCTTTTGTACCCTGGGCCTACGTCGCTCAAAGTGTGCGGCATAGAACAACAGTCCCATGAGATGATTCTCAAAAAAGGGAAGGGGGTTCTACTCTCAAATAAGTTTGGGAAATGCTACATGTTAGAGCCCCTTCTTGGAGATCTGCCACGTTCATCAAAGCACGTGTCCATCAAACACATGGCAGCATCTCCCAAACTACAGAATAGCCTCATTCCCTTAAAACAATCACTGAGTCCATTAACGTCTTGCAGAAGCGTTGTTACACAGACCAGACTTGTGGTATGATCCTTACTCGATGTACTTCTCTTGTCCTCTCCACCTTCCCAAACCGCCCTGAGGGGAGCCTGAGTGCCTCTGAAAATTGTGAGCACTGTTCCTCCTCCAGCTCAATCAGGGAAGCCCTGACTTTCCCTCCTTTCTGCATTCCCTCCTCCAGCCCTGTCCCGCCCTGCCTCCATGGAAGGTGATCATCACCATTTCTAGAACATCAAGCCATCCCCTCCCTCTTTATACTCGACATTCCTATCCTATAGCTCCTAGCACCGAAACCTTGCACGAGTAGGCAAACAGCAGATATTTGATGATTAAGGCAATGGGACTTTGAAGATACTGCTACCATCTCTATTACCTTTTAAAAACTTAATTACTTTTGTCTCCTACCCTCTGGGATCCACATCCATCATACGTTGACTTGGGCGGGGGGGTTCTCATTCTTTCATTTCTGCTTTTGCCCTCTGTAATTTCAGCAACCATGTCAATTATTGATCAAATCCTACAGTTTCATCATGCCACTCAGCCTCCTTGGCACCAAAGTCTTCCACCATCCTACCCTGGTCATGTACATCCAAGACCTTGAGGCTTGATATGTCTGACTGTGGCCTTAGCCTCTTACCTTTGACCCTTTCTTATGTTCCACTATAAGTTGGGAGAGGATGGATATCAGATGAACAAAACATATGCTGTTCCCTCTTCTCTGAGAACTCATAATCCAGCAGGACGTTTCCTACCCTCACTGGGGCCTCCCCACTTGCTCCATGTGTTAGCTCTATTCTGCCTTCACTCAAGGTAGAGCCTAGCATGGACCCTACGGCCAGACCTTTCAGTAGAGCTCGCATTATGCCCCAGTACCCTGCCACCTTCCCGTAAGCCTGCATCGTACACAGTCCTGCTGTTCATTCTTTAGGGATGCTGGCCAGTCATGGTCCACTTCTCCTCTCTCCCAGCACCTCAAGCCTGCCCCGATCCTGGGCAGGTGATCTTATTTCCTATTTCACCTAAAGAACAATGTCCTCAGGCAGGCTGAACTCCCTCTCCATAATTTATCTCTTTCCTTCTCCCTCTTTGAGTTCTATCAGCCCGCTTCAGAGAAAGGGGCAAGACCCCTCCCCGTGTGCCTACTCTGAGGCCTTGCTTTATCCATCGTCCCTACTCTTTCCAGAATAATGATTCTCTTCCTCTATGCTTGTTCCTCCTCTTCTTCCTACAATCTTGCAAGGTTCTCTTCTTTCTGAAAATACCTGGCTTGATCCTCCTGCCCCCTCTTGACTCCTTATCCATGCTTCCTGAGGGAAGAGGTTTGCACTTCCCCAGGCCTTCTCTCCTTACTCCCCCTCCCCTGCCATCTGGAACCTTCCCCAGCCATGATTATGAAACTCCTGTCTCCAAGGGTAGCATTGGCTCTAGCTCAGAAGGGACAGTGTCAACAGGTCTCTAGACTCCTTAGTTAGCCTTTCCTGACTAGACCAGCCTTGACCCTCTTGTTCCCATGGCTCTACTCTGAAAGTGTCCATGGAAGGTCAGGTGGAAGCGCAACAGCTGCAGTTAAAACCACCCAAGAGCGACAATCCTTCGGGTTGATCAAGGTTGGAGGAGAAGGTTGAGAGTGTGGGAGAAACTCCTGCTCTTGGGGAACCTTCCATTTAATCCTTCTGCTTCCTTTTCCTCATGTGGAAGGCAGTTGCGAGATGGAAACCATTTGCAAGGCAGATGAAATGGGGGTAGTTTTCTGTACAAAGAACCAGGACCTGTGGTATGGAAGATCTGGAACTGGGGGCCCTGGGACCAACTCTGTGGTATATCTACACAAATCTGCCCTGATATGGGGCTGGGGGAAGGGGGGTGGTGCTGAGACATCTTTTTTTCAGGACCAGATCTCTCCGTGGCCTGGATCTTGTTTGATCCTTTTCTCCTTGCACTCTCCTTATTTCCTGCTCAGGACTATCCTGGAGTGGATTGGATTTTATTTGTTGAGCCTCCTCTCTGTCTGTGTGGCATCAGGACCCCACAAACAGAGGGAAACATTCATGAACTCACTCCTGGGTGGGGGCCCTGGGGGGCTCCACCTTTCCTTGGAAGAGATCCTTCTTCCGAGGGCTAAGCTTTAAGCTTCCTTTCCATGCCAACCCGTCCTCCCTCTTGCTTTAGATCCCCTTGTGGTCCTTGCTCTGGGGATATCAGGCAGCTGCCTGAGATGCACGTGGGATGGGGAGTCTGTGATCATGGCACAGAGGTTTTCCTTGTGTAATAGCCAGTGCCTGTAAGGACATAGTTATTACACCTTAGCTTCGCCCCCGTCTAACTCTCCTGAGAAACTGGGTCCTGCTTTCTGATCATAGCACCCATTAATGAATAAATGTTTAAATTAAAGAATAAATAGTGAATAGAAAGTTTGGAAAATAGAGGAAGGAAAAGCAACCATGTAAAATCCCAGCCTTCTAATAACAACAATGGTCATCATTTCAGTAAACTCCTTCCAGCTTTTTTTAATGTGATATTTAGAAAACATTTGTAATCATACCATATACATATGCATTTGCACTGATTAAGACCTTGAGCATCTTATTTCCGATGAAGATTCATGTGCTCCTCTAGCAGGAGTGACAGGTGGCACCTCAGGCAGGCAGGCAGGGGTGGCTCCTTGGCTGTGTAGAGAACACTTAATGTCTTTTCTATGAATCTAGAACCTCCCAGCATTGATGTCCTGGATGGATGCTTTAAGGTCTTCTCACCATGGCAGTCAGTTAATCCTGAGCTCTTCCACCTCACAGAGGTCTGCAAAGAGAAGTGAATTGGAGGTTAAATTTCCAAAGACCTTATAGCACTTTCAATGGCTTGTTTTCTCAGCAAGAACTGTTACACCACCTTCATTGTCATCGCACATTTGTAGAGAGCTTTACTTTTCAAAGTGCTTCCCTGTGTACCAACTCATTGGTCCTTGCAGCAACCCTATAATGTGGTCATCACTATGTTCATCTACATTTTGCAGATGAGGCATCAGAGAAGTCAAAAGACTTGCCCGAGGTCGCACGTTACCCACATCCAAACCCTGTGCCCTTGTCTTAAGCAGTAACTGGATTTTTCTGGGCACCATATTTCTGCCTGTTTCATCCAACACTCAGATGAAATCCTTTTTCCTCTGCAGCACACTTTCTGGCTCATTTTCTTAAACTCCCTCCTCTTCCTCACTGCAGGGGGCCGGGATAAGCGAGGAGGACCCATCCTGACCTTCCCTGCTCGCAGCAATCATGATAGAATAAGACAGGAAGACCTGAGGAAACTCGTGACCTATTTGGCCAGCGTGCCAAGGTAAGGGGAAGGGAATGGTCCTGCAGGGGAGGGAGGGAGAGCTGGGCTGATGTAAGTGAATTGGAATGAGCATCCATCCCTGCCAGAGTGGATTCTAATTATTCCTGGAACATCATCACGCATTGTTTGCCTCATTCCCATCATTCCCATTGTTACTGCTGGGATTCATGTGAATGGAGTAGGAGCTGTAAGTGGGAACTGTGGGCAGAGATGAAGGTCCCAGGCTAAGAGGACCAGGACAGGGCCTGAAACAGGAGACACTGTGGCCTGGGGAGGAGGGATGGGAAGCTGCTATTTACCTTAGGGAAATGGGAACTCAAGCTGATTCCCCTCTGGCTTGTGCAATGGAATATTCTTAAAATCTCTGGCTTGTGAATATGTTTGTGGCTTTTGGAGTTTGGGGTAAATAACTCCACTTGTATCATTCAGCTAGAAGCAGCCCTCAGCTCAATCTAGGTCATGCATTTTTAAAGGGGGTAATATTGCCCACAAGGGGGATGAAAATTGGTTCTTAGGGTAGCAAAAGGACTTGCTCTCTTATGTATTAAGCACAGCCATACACATAGAAAATAAACATATATACAGTATATTCATAGTATTAAATTTTCATTGGGTAGATTATTAAGGAAAAAAGTATAAAAAGTCTCTTTTGGGGCAGAGGAAGATGATAATTAAAAAAAGGTTGAGAAACATGGTTTCTGAGTGTTTCTGTGCGGTGCTGGCCGTGGAGGTTGGTGGAGGGAGACATGCCAAGGCCATGGTCTATATCTTTCAAGGACGGAGAGGAGAGGCCTTTGCCTAGTCAGAGAATTGTAGCGTGTGAGAGCCGGAAGAGCCCTGAGAAGAAATCTAGGCAAATGCGTGTTGTGTTCTGCTTAGGAAACAGGGTCGATGCGGGACGGGAGTTGCTTACCAGGGGTCAGTGGCAGAGCTCAGCCCAGAACTCAGCCCTCCTGACTCCTGCCCCAGTGCTCTGCTCATCCTCGCTCTTGGCCAATGGGGCCTCTGTTCTTTACCTCTTAGTAGGGCTGGAGCCTGTCAAGTGTTTTTTGTGGCAAGTAAGAAGTGGTGCCTTCATCTTGCCTCTGTGCATTTTGTGGGAGGATTAGTAAACTACAGAGAGGAGCTGTATATTCAGCCCTGCCTTTGCTGGGAGACCTTGGATAATTCTTGAACGGGCTGATTGAATTCTTGAAGCAGATGTCAAGCGAGGCAAGCACTGCATTTGAAAGAGCTACAGGGGAGACAAATGTAAAGGGATTGGTGGATGGTGATGGGCAGGTGGGAAAGGGGATTTCAGAACAGTCATCAAATGCTTAAAAGGATGTTGAATGGAGTGGGGAGCCTGAAGAGCTCCAAGCAGAGCCTGGGAACAAATAGATGTCATATAATATCTATTTTTTTCTTTATAATATCCACCAGGGACCAGAAAAATGATAAAAGGTCTTAAGCTCCAACAAAAGGGATTTGAGCTATATCCAAAGAAGAACTAAACTTTGTGCATGAGACTTTAGACTAAAGAATAGAATAGGAGATTTTTTTTTCTAGAGGTCTTTATACAGAAGAAATATTTCCTTCCATCTTGGAGGTAAGGAGGTGTACTAAACAACCCATAATTGATCTAGGTAATTTTGCAATTTAGCCTTCTAGGGGCAAAGCAGCTTTAAAAGCATCTTTCCTATGTACACTGCTAACAGGCATAAAACCAGGCATTTTCTAAAGCAATTTACAAGAAAAGTTTTCATGGGGATCCGTGATGGACTCTCAGTTCTCTTAGAGCCAAAAGAAATTGGGATCCCAGGAGATATGGAGGGTAAATTTTTCTTTCCAGTGTGTTTATCACATGCCTGCAGCTAATGCATGCTAATTTTTTCTTTAGAATAGAAGGTAAAAGAGTTGGAAGAATGCTTTTCTTCATTCCGACTTGTTAAGCAAAGATGGGACAAAACAGATTGGAAGCAATTAAAAAGGAAAGGATTTCTGTTGGGTGAAGGGGAATGAAACCCAAGTGGGGCTGAGAGGAAGGTCATGAAAAATGAGAAACAATTCATTATCATTGAAGGAATATAGATGCAGGCTCTCTGCCTCTCAGAGGGTGGTCACAGTACTGCATCCCGTGCTCCTGAGAGCAGACAAGGTGCTTCACAGGTTCTGGCAGGTGGGAGGCAAGAATCCCGCTGCCATCTTCACTGGAAAAATTGTTCTAGGATGCCTGCTGCCTCCCTCCAGAGGGGCCTGTGTTCATCAGGAGTGTGAATACCTGGCAGGCTGCAGAGTTTACCAACTAGTCATGCCCACTCATCACTTCCTGATTCTGTTGGCGACAAGTTCACACGTGACAACTCTTGGAAACAAAACCTAGAACAGAATTGTTCTAAAGACCATAAATCTCGGGCGGGGTGGGGGGTGGGGCAAGGTGGGGAGGAAACCGAAGAACTCAGTGGGTCAGAGAGTATTTTCCAGTCCTCTGCTTAGCAAGAAACTGTGAAAATGAATTGCTGGATTAGGTTGATGATACTGATGAGAAGAAATGATTTATCCTGGGTCATGGCCCAGGAGGCTGAAAAGACAGCTCCTGTGGGAGGTGGAGTATGCTCTGCAGACTGGCCTGTAGGCGACATTTGACATGCGTTTCTTCATTCTCTGTTTATTTAACTGATATTTAGAGGCTCTATATGCCAGCTAGATTGAGGATTCATGGTGAGCAGGAACAGACATTTTGAGAGAGTTTGGGAAAACCTGGATATTTCTCTACTCAGCACCAAACCAGTGACCATAAAGGGCAGTGCAATAAATGACTGTGCTGGTAGCATAGGAGATGAACCAGCTGGCAGAAGACAAGCAAATAAGCACTAGTAAGTGATGAAAGAGGATCCCAGAATCTAAGGAACCATTTGGCTTGATGGCCATTTTTGGCACCATTCTAGAATAGACAATTAAACAGATGGTTGTGATAATTTAGAAATGAATGGGAAGAAATATTCCTATTATCCTCTGTGAAGGCCAGGCCATTTCTGGACCATTGCATTCAAATCTGCAACATTGAACTCTGCCAGCCCCATTTTAAGAACTATATTGGCCAGTTAGAGTATTGTCAAGGGAGTAGTATATTGAGGGATCCACAAATCATGTCTCTGCATGAAGGAACGAAGGATGTTTGTTGGCAAGAGTAAAAATGGGAGAAAAGTGATTCCTGACTTCAGATTTTGGGAGAGCTGCCCCAAAGAGAAGGAACAGACATGGTCTCTGTTGCATCAATGGGTAGAAGTTATAGAGATCAGGACTCTGAACTGAAGAAGGAACCTGCCCATGTGGGAACTGTCCAGCAGTAACGCTGCTGCTTCTGGAGAAAGTGAGCTTCCTGTCGCTGGAGACTGGATGACCTTCTGTTAGGAATGTTGTAGGAACAATTCCTTCACTGGGCTGGAGGCTGGATTAGATCATTTCTAAGAGTCTCTCTTGCCCTGAATTCTGTATTTTTATGATATTGGAAAAAACATACATCATAAAATCCAGGACCTCTAAACAGAGTCTTACCACCCCGACAAACATGCATTCCCTTTCTCAGACTCCCTAAATAGCTTACGGCCTGGAATTTCACTTCATATCTTGTCTACATCTTAAATCCTAAGAGAACTGCTTTCTAGTCTGCTTGGACTCTGGGTGGGAATTTGAGGGCATCACCTGGGACCAAGGATCATCCTGGGGTGCAACAGTTTGGAACAGTCCTAGTTACTCTTTTCGGATCCATCTCAGTCTGAGGTGAGTCCTTTCCGACTTCCCTTCCTTGCTCTTGATGAGTCGGATCTTCTCCAAGCTTTCTATCATCTTCTTCTGAGGAATCATAAAATATCAGGATGGGAAGAGACCTTGAAATAAGTCTTGTAAGTCAACTTCCTAACAACTCCATTTGCTCAGTTCTACAAATATTTATTGAGTGCCTACTATGAGACAAGGTCTGCATAGGGATCTTGATGAGTTCTGGTATTACACCTTTTCTGATTGTCATCCATCCTGTACTTATCTAGCTTTTTGTTCTGGCCTGCTATCTGCTTGCAGTTACTTGTGCATGAAAGGGGTGGAAAAGAAATACTCAGATACCATCAGCTGATGAATGTCCCTAGAAATTTAGAGACAGGATAGAAAATCTAGTCTGAAAGTAAACGGTTGCCCAGGCAGAGCCCACACTGTGGATAATCTACCCACTATGATTGTTGGGAGTCAACCGTGTGCTTGAAACAGGAATGTCTAAGTATCTAGTAAGGAAATCCTGGGTTACTTCTATTGCGTTGAATTCCTCCTCTTCATCGTTATTGGTATCCTGCTTTGTCAGGATTATATTTCTGCTGCTCCCAAGGGCACCGGTTGTTAGCCCCTGATGTATCTGCCACCTAGCTCTGCTCTTAGCAGCGCTGCTGAGATGCTAAGAGCTCCGGCAAGGAACACAGGTGTCATGTTGAGGAAAGATGATGGGAAATTAAGATGGGACGTTCTGTGATGCCAATCAAACCAAGGTGCCCATATTCACAGCTTATTATTTGGTAACATTTGCTCCTGTTCTACTTCTTTCAGCAAGAGATAAGTTGGGCTTATAGCCAGCACTGTCTTTGTTCAACACGACCAGAAAATAGAAATAAGCAGAGAGAGCCAGAAAGACAGTTAAAAGACAAGGAGGTAAAAACTGGAAGGTTTCTTCCCACTACATTCCACATGAGAGAGCCCTAGCGACCCAAGCTGCCATCGCTGAATGAGTTTTGTCATAGGGCCTGTTGAGATGTGTGGTTGCCATCCTGCCCTTTGCTCTGGCGTCATCAGTTAAAGGTGGATACAGGGAGTTGTGATGGAAGGTCCAGAAAATATGACCAAGGAGACTATCAGCCTAAAACTTAGACCTTTCCAGATCCATTTTTAGCTTATTTTGCTGATTGTTTATTGAGGGTTTATAATTTCTATTACAGTTCCCACATTCTGTACAAATTTCTGAGCAATATCAGGTAAGT